GATTGCTTACACCATCACATGGAAGCCGCGTGACAGGCCAGCCAGTCCCTCTTCCGACAGTGACCGGGCCTGGCTGCGCGCTCTCAATCAGGTCCTTGCAGGAATTGAGCCGACGCAACATACCATTCTCTCCACGCTCACGCTCCTGTCCAACTCACTACTGTCGGGTCAATCACTGCCGCCCTTTATGCAACTTCCGAGACCGAATGAGCTCACCCGCAAGCTCCTCCACCTCAAAGGTCCGGACCCAGAGCCGCGGACCATGCAAAGAAGAGGCAGTGAGCTCGAGCACAGGCTTGTCACGGTCCACACCCGTACAGGATCTGAAGTGCGCCCCTCAGGTCGGAAGCCCAGCGTGGTGGGATCAGTGGTGGAGTCGCCGACGAGTGACACTTCAACGATTGGGGGTATGGCCGAGTTATCGGAGATGGTCAGCCCTCTTGGCAGCGGAAGTATTCTCGACGTAAGGAACGTAGAGCAACACGGATATACCGAGTTCGCGGTGCTGCAGGTTTGCAGCTCGCTTGTGTGCGATGACTTGGAGGGCTTGGTGCGGTCTGTGAGCAGTTTGGTTGGTGTTGTGGACTTTAGCTTCAGGATCAATCCAAGTGAGGCAACGCTGACGAGCAGTGATGAGGACGATGCTAGAGGAAAAGGCAAGCGAGATTAACATAATACCCACGACCTAGGTTGAAACTACGGAGATATACCAAAAGGCGAATTGAAACAGATATAATAAGAGTTATTACCATGAGCATTCAAATGGATCTGATGAATTTCTCACACACAAGGCTATGAATCAAGGCCGCTTGGGCAAAGCGAGGGAGGGTACTTGGAGTGTAAGTGTGATATTACTAGCACTAGCTTAATGACCATTCAATAACTTGGAACCGGTCATGTTTATGAAGTTTACAAAGAAAAAAGCTGTTGCCAGGTCGAAATCTTATGCCCACGATCCTGCCAACGATCACCATGTCAGGTCTCAACGCAGATGACGCCGCTGCCGCTACTATTCACCCGATGACCCGACTTGCGAGTGGTACTCGTCGTAATAGTCTTGGTTCCAGATCGCGAGTTCATCTCATGCATCTGCGCACTCATTCTCTCCTCCAGCCTCTCCATCGCCCTGCACTTCTCCTCGAATCTTACCACAGCCTCGTCACGCTCACGATCCGCTGTGTTGCGCGCAGTAATGGCTGTCTCCTTCTGCTCCCGCGCCTCGCGGAGCATGGTGCGCATGGCCGAGATCTCGTACTCATAGCTGGAGCTTCCTTCCTCAATCTCGGTGATGCTCTCGTATGCCTCCTCGTACTTGACCTCCCACTCCTGGCACTTGGCCTTGAGAGCGCCGCACCTGCTGTTGAGCGACTCGACCTCGATCTTGAGCACAGCTGAGGCGGACTGGTGACTCTCGATCTCAATCTGGAGCTTCTCGATCTGCTTCCTGCAGTCGCTTAGGTCGCAGTCGAGACGCTCAATGCGCTCCGTCTTGGTGTGGATCTCCTCTTGCGACTTCTTGAGAATGGTCTCAGTGTGGCTGAGGGTCTCCTGCACAAGAAGAAGCTGACGATGGTTCTCGTTGGCGCGACCGACAGCACGCTCGCCCTCGTCCTTGAGGCGCTTCTTCTCGATAACGAGGACACGAAGCTCTTCCGTCTTCTTGGTGATGGTTTCCCGTAGTTCAGTGCGTGTAATCTCGATGCGAGAGATCTCTTCGCGGAGGGAAATGATTTCACGGTCGCAGTGCTCCCACTTGAGCTTCCACTTGCCACAGTTGTCTTCGGCCGCCTCCCACCGGCAGTGCTCTTCCTCAAGCTCACGCTTGAGTCTGATGATGCACTGATCGAGCTCTTCCTTTTCGTTCCGGATCTTGATGATGATCTCCTCCTTCTCGTTCTTGATTCTGGTGATGGCTTCTTCCTTCTCACTCTTGACCTTGGTGATGGCCTCCTCCTTTTCGTTCTTGACTCTGATGATGGTCTCCTGTTGCTCCTTAACCTCAGACTTCTTCTTCTCGTACAGCTCTTCTATCTCCTTGTACTTCCGCTTCAGCTCATCATACTTGTGGTCGCACTTGCGGATATGGTCCTCAAGCTCGCCCCGCCTGTGGAGCCACTCGTGCTTCTCCTCCTTGAGTATTAAGTGGCTCTTCCTGATGTCTACAAGCTCCTTATGAGTCGACTCGAACTTGGTAGTAATCTCCTCATGCTTGGAAGTTAGCTCGGTGAGCTTTAGATCCATGTCCGCACGCTCGCCTCGTAGCTTGCCACACTGATCCTCAAGATCGGCACGGGCAGCTGTAGTGGCCACTAAGGTGAGTCTCGTCTGCTCAGAGGTCTTCTTCAGCTCTTCGTGTTCTTTCTTGATGTAGGTGTAGGTATCCTTGGCTTCGGCGATCTCATGTCGGAGGGTCTTGCACTCGTTGTCTCGTGCAGATAGCTCCAGCTTGAACTTCGAAGCGCTGTTGATGGCTGCAGTGAGCTCCAGGCGCACCTTGACAAGCTCCTGCTTCTGGCCTTCATGCTCGTGGTTGTGGTGACTGTGCTCCCTCTCCTTGCGCTCCATGACCTCGGTCAACTCCTCGTAGCGCTCAGTCATGCGATGCATCTCAGAGTAGACAGACTCGCGCTCGGTGATGATCTTGCTCCAGACTTCGCGCAACGACATGCTTCGCCTCGACATGCTAGACATGAGTTCCGTGAGCGCCGCGAACTCAAGCTCTGCCTGGCGAGTGAGCTCCTTCGATACTTCAGAACTGAAGCTGGAGCTGTGGGAGCTTGAATGGAACTCATTGCTATAGGACCGACGACTGACACGACGCCTGGTAGTATACGCGCTCCTAACGGACCCAGTAGGACTGCTTGTACGAGGAGATGTTGCGGATGGGTAAGACGGGAGAAGACGAGGTCGGCTTCGCTCGTTGATGCTGAGACCCGACATCTCGCTCGTCAGCAAATCCGATTCGCCCGGAGTGATCGGCGTCGGGATGTCAATGTCTACTCCCAAGTGAGTCTGGGAGTGGCCATGGTCATGGTCGTGAGTGGTCGCCATGTTGCTGTGTAGTCCAAAATGTGAAGCAAGAGTAGAATCTAAAGACAGGTAGAAGCCTTCGGCCATGGGGTAAGGGCAATATCAACAAATTTGTCAAGCCGCATTTGGGCAGGCGACAACGCACATGCGACACGGGACTTTTAAGGCCTTGGACGTACCGGACAAGCTTTTCCGTCACCTCAGCTTCAGCTATTCACAAAGAATGATCATCAGTGCCGCTCGCATGGGCATGATCCTAATAATTTTCGTTTCTGGTAGGCTGAGACACAGCTGAAGTATGGCGGATGGCTGAAATCCAAAAGCAGCGCAGTATCAACGAGTAAGATCCCATCCTCTGTCCATTTCCTCTCGAAGAAGCTTCCCGGCAAATTTGATGGCTTGCAATGGCTTGCGATGGCTTGCGATGGCGATGAAGCAACATTCATAGCTTCGTGATCTGCAGGGTAGGCCGAGACCTGATGTGCCTGTTGAGAGAGGCTAGGCGATGTCGGTAAACGCCAGGGTCCTCATGCTTGCATCCCTAGCTGTCGTAGTTGAGCCAGCCACAGGCAGCCCTCCCGCGTCGGCCGAAGGGTATAGATGAGTCCGATTGGCTTCTGCGTTACGACCCAAAATGGCGAAGGAGGTGAATTCGAGACATATCCCGCGCGCAGGGCACAGATTACCCCAAAAGGAATGGTCCTTGTCTCTGTCAGTTTACTCCTAAGCTCTTCGCTTAGAATGGATAATCTACTGAGCCATATGGCCGAAAGCGGTCATATCTTTCCCCGCGTGGAGTTCATATCGACTTTGAAAGTCACTGCCGGGGTTGCAGACGTCTCCCCGCAGAAGACTTACTAACTTAGGCAAAGACGCGCCCGTTTGTCGCCCAATTATCGCTCGGCTGGTAAAATGTTATTGACTGCTAGTTGTGGAGTCTTCGTTACCACTGGTCAAATTCCAGCAATTTCATCTGAGACCCTGACTGCATTCAGCTCCCAGACCCGGCAGCTTGTGTGAAACCTTTTGACTTACCATAGCGGAGGAACTTCGAAAGATAACATTCTCCGAGCCCCTTATTTCCCAAGAAACTAAGATCAGCATTCGTGATGCCCATCATTTCTCGAATGCGCAATCTCTGTCGCGTTCCTTACGCAAAGAGATGACCGCCAGACGGCGATCATCGCGTTCTTGGCTGGAGCCGGTGAGAAAAATGGAAGCACAGTCTTCGAGACATAATACCTCGACAATCGTGGGGGTCTCGTTATAGTTTCTTTGCACATTATCAAGGTCTGCGGTCACCTTTGAGCTACATATTTTCACCTAGCAGATGAGATTGGCAGTCCGAGAAGTGACGCCTTATTTCCTTCCACCAGTGCAAAATGACTCAATACATGGCAAGCCAATCAGATCTCGTAAAGTTTGTCTGCAGCAACTATGATAACAATGGTCCTTTGGGACCTTGTCCTATTGTATGCGACCAAGTTGTTGTAGAAGACCTGGCAGTATGGGCGTCGGAGAGAGCGGGCGTTGACCAGGCCATTGTGGGAGTGATATGGGCTGCATCTTTTCGTGGGATTAGCAGCTGTGAGCTATTAGCTGCCCACTGATATAGACGCCACAATTGTGGAATCAGACCTTTTCCGGCCAGGGTACCATGTGCTCCCGGAGCTTCCGTTTGAACAACACCTGTTTATAAACATCGCCTTGCTCAAGACGCCCGCTATTCCCAAGTTACGAACTTCATCACTCTAGTTAAGTGGACAGACGACACGTGAGTGAGGGATACGGTGGGTCTTCTAGAAAGAGTCACAGGCCCAGACAGATATCATTATGATAAAAATTGCCTCATTAATGATTGTAATTATTCAGATGCTGCCTCTTTGTTGAAAAGGCATCGCTAGGTATATCAGACGAAAGCTTTGAGAGCACTCTGCATCAACCACCTCTTTCTTCGCGGATGTTGGCTCTTATGCCTTGTCGCACTTTAGGTTCCAGCTGCTCTGCGGCGAACAGACAACCGCACCATTGAACTTCAGTGTAGTCTTCGCCTGGCTGCTGCGTGCGTGGTTGTACGTGATCCAAATGCCATTTTGCGCAATGTTCCTGCCATCTGTCGATCTGCAGGCGGTGTTGACCTCGTTCCACCATCCGGCCTTGAGCTGCAGCTCATCTCTGCGGTTGTTGATGGCCCACTTGAGGTCTCCGAAGCTGAGGTCGTTACCAGTCCAGAGACCAGAGCACAGGAGACGCTGGGCCTTGGTTGTGGCGCCAACAACGGCAGGTGCAGGCTCAGCAACTGCTTCTGGTGTAGGTGCGGCGATAGCGCTGGCTGCGAGGAGCAGGATGGCTTGGAACTTCATTTTGTTGTCTGGGTCCCTTATTGATCTGTTTTTGTAGGGATTTTGCCGTGAATTTGGGTTAGATGAAGGGTTGATTTCAGACTGATGTACGATATTATGAGAAGCCTTAACAGTCTTGGGGATAAAGAGTTGCTGTCTTGGAAACTCGATATATCAAGCCAAACTGTTGACTCAAATACTCGCACACAATGGATTCAAGGACACTACCTCGCCATGGTAATTTCCTCGATAGCATTCAAGAACACGCTATGCCTCATATGTTGTACATGACTTGTACCGGCGGGTCGACGTTTAATGCAACTGAGTCCCTGATTTGCTCACCTGTCTCTAGAACCCCACTACAGCGAAGCATCCCACCGGTGAACGGATATCGGCAGGATAAATTTCGCGAACGATGATCAACAGCTTGGTTGGGTGGCCTCGGTCCTATCGGCTATCCCGTACACACAAAATCCACGCGGTATTAGCCCGCGCATTCGGGTATACATGATTCAGTACAAGACAAGCCAAAGGCCCAAAGTTCTACAAAGTGTTGTTGCTACAATTGGCGGCTGGAACAGGGTTATGTGAAAGCGAGTTATTCGGCTCCGAACCTCTGTAAACTGGGACTCGAACTAACGAAGTACATACAATTAGACCGCTTGAACCACGCAAGGTTTACAAAGCTTAACTGATTAAACACCGCTGCAATCTTCGCTAGCCGTTCGTATTACACGCGAAATGGTTGGAGCACATTGGGGAGGATATCTATTCAGGATAAATGATCTGTTGATCGCGAGAAGCAGATATCCCGCGAAATTACTTGGCTTGTCCACGTTTGGTGTGTTTTTTCTTCGCCTAACATACATTAAAATCATCAGCCTTTGGACCTTCACTCGAAAGGAAGCGTCAGCGTCATTGTACGCAACCTTATCAACCGCTGACTTGAGTCATTCGTATTTCACCTCCGGATTAAATGTTGAAATTTAGTTGGGTTCATAATAGCGACAGGCAACTCGGATGATCGGATGCCGCAAGTCATGCGGTGGGCGATTCTAAGATCGAGGCGGGCCACTTCTACCAAACTTCATCCTCTCTAGCTGTTCAAGTGAATGGACTCATCTGGGGATAGTGCGGGAACATGCAATATCAAAGCCGATGTAGCCAACCTTGAATAGACAATGATGTCACGGAGGCCGTTGTTCTTTAGAGTTCTCAGAACACAAGCTTTGTGACCTGTATGCTTATCTCTGTACATGTGCTTCTCCACGCTGAATCGTTCATAGTTGCTATAGACCTAGTTGCGTAACCTCACATATAGCAGTGCACCTGATGCGGCTGGCCTTGGTTTGGAGCACGCCGACCTCATCCCCGGCCAACTGATCTTCAAATGAGTTCTGTGACCATCATGGGTCTAGCATGGTACCTTATGTTGAGGTACGCTGTAGTATAACGTACCTTATGGATTGATACTGCGTTTAACATATTACCTAGTCCCAAGCAACAATGAAGACGTGGGTTTCACGCCTGATTATGGCAACTTGTCCTTTTTATCCAGATTTCTCCAATTCGCCCGTCTTGTTAGAGGGCTTTCTAAACGAGAAAATAAACTGCTATCTTGAATCTTTCCCCCTTTTCTCGCAGGCTCAACTTGGCTTCCACTGCTAGACATCCCTTGACACAGCCCATGGCCTACTACACGCGTAATGTTGGACATTGCAGAAAGATTATCAATGAATAAGGTCGTGGAGTAGTAGGTTGATGCGCAGTGGAAAGTTTGGATGCGGAAAGCTCAAGTTTCACTTACCTGAGTTGTCAAAGACACATAATAGCTTCTCTAGCAATATGGCAAGACGGGGACGGGCTAAAGTAGGTTGCAACAATCGGAAAAGGAAACAGCTTTTTACATATCGTCATTTACCATATGTAGCTCCGAAAAGCAGCATAATCAAAGATCGGCACAGCGACAGCTGAAGATTCGTTACTTGAAATGAGCATCTTGCCATCTCCGCCACGAACAATGTCCCTATCACGCCAATTAAAGTCCAACGAAGCTTTGAAAGGATTTCCTCGTGTTTGGTAGCAGAATACCTTTGGATTGTTTGGTCCGTTGGCTTGGTTAATGGCAAAGCTATCTCTTGTTTGTTCTTTTCATGCTAGAAGAACAACCTCAATAAAGATTTTGATGCTAGGACAGAGACCTGCGATATACCGCGAGGCATACGAGACGCCATTATTTAAATCTTAACATGTGCCCCCGACTTCTTCAACTTCCACATTGTCGACCTCAACATCAGAACCTCAGGTTCAATGTGTCTCCCCCTCCCACGAAATCACTTCACAGCCTGTGGCCGCTGGAGCGCATCTTCCTTCTCCAACAGCTACAAGAAGTCCTGCGACGCTTTCATCGAGTTCTTCCAGAAGGAATTTGGTATGGGGACGATGTGCGTGATCAGCTGGTACGATGATCCGGGCACGGGCTGTGGCCTGGCTGACGTGGCTGACGTGGCTGTCGGTGCTGAGGATATGGATGGGTTACGGACGGCGATGAAGAGGGTTCGAGATTTGACGGAGGTGACTTTCCAGTGTTCCTGTATAAGCAAACGAGGAAGTGGAAGAGCTATGGTGGGTAGATTATGACTTCCGAGGCCTGAGAATGTTTTCTCAGATAGACAACGGACAATACTTGAGATAGAGGAACTTGGCCAGGACGAATTAGGCGGAGCTTTTCGAGCACGTGAGAAAGTAATATGGAATGATATTCACGAGCTTGAGCTCAACTAGAACTGTATCTTGACCACGCCCAACCCACCCCAAAGTAAGGCCAGCGTAAAAAGATGATGCCTGGCTCGCCGTGTCCACCCCATTCATAAACACCCAATAGGTACGCCGACTCCCGAAACCTGCCGACGAAGACGCCTTGCCGGCTTTTTGCTTCTCATCATGCCAAATACCAGTAAGGTTACTTGGTAGGTATACTATACAAACGCTGCGTCTTCGTTATCAGACCAGACTTTCAATCCTTCAGCCGATCCCTCATGGCTCAATCTCCATTGCACCGTCACTCTCGAGATTGAGGTCGAGGACACGAGCATACTGGATGGTCAGTCGTTGGAGTTCCCTGAATTTGCCTGAACGACTGTTAGCATGGCTACCTCATGAAGAGTGAATCAGTGAATCAACTTACCGAGAATCATGACAACGCCCTTCAGGAGCTCCTTGCGGTCCCAGCCACATATCTCGTCCTCTTGGCTGAACCAACCCCGGCCGCCCTCGCTTGGCTTCTCGTCCTTGTCTCTTAAGATACCGCCGAGCAGGCTGTTAAGGAGCTCTTCAACCTTGCCTCGATGACCCTCGGCACCAAGACGCTTCGCATACATGAACAAGTAGAGCCGGAACTCGTCCCTTGCATCCAGGTGTAGAGAGGCGGCAATGCGGTTTTCAAGATGAGCAATACTCACCGTTGATTCAAAGCCCTCAAAGCCGTCTTTTGTCAACAACATTTTGACGATGCGCTGCAAGGTGTAGGCGCGACCCTTGAGAAGGAACTCATTCGTTGTGTGCCTTTCGAGGTAGGGAATGATACCGGCGGAAACGTTGGCTGTACTGTCGTCCTTGGGCTTCGCGGGCGTGACGGGTCCAACGGCAGTCGACTGCAGAGCGCCAATCGATGAGTCGTTGCTGTTCCAGTACTGGGAGCCAACAGCCCACCAGGCTTCGCTTACCCGCTGCCATGTGAACATGTCCCGGGTGTAGCAGTAGCCGTCTCCGTTGGTCAGCGTCACCACAATGTGGCCAGCCGAGTTCAGTTGAGCTGATGTGATGCCGGGACCTGGTGTTGTTGTATTGAGGTTGAGCGACGTTGTCGCGAGTTCGAGGACGGGGCCTAGTGATACTGGGGGATGCAGGGCTGCTTGCCTTTGTAGGTCCCAGACGTGGCACAAACCGACAGCGTTGATGCAAAGCAAATAATTATTGCGGCATTCGAGGATGACTGGTTGGGATTCCATGATGATCGGGTTCATCAAGCGTCGTCCAGCGGGTGTCCAGGTGTAGATACTGCCATCTTCGCATGCCACTGCCCAGAAATTCTTGTTGCCAGTGACAAGGATGACTGCTCTCGGCAGGTAGTCCTGCCAAAGAAGCGTCCCACGCTTGGTAGCAGAAATGAATGAGGGGTCCCTGATTTGAGCAGGGTTTCGGGCTTCAAGGATGATGTTTTCGGGCACCTTGGAGGCGTCATCTGTGCTGCTTTCCGGGAGCAAGACCCCTCGTTCGAGGGGCCTCACAATCTGAGATCTGACTTTGGGTACAGCCAGCCGAATTTGCGCAAAGGCAATCGATGGATTCAACACCGCAGGCCTAAGATACTCGGGTGTGGGTACAACGCCGTAAGCAGCCGGCACGACCGAAGCCGGCTCGACGCCATCGACGCCGTTCAGTACCACAGGCGTTGGCCCCGTTGCCTGCCGCTTTGATGCGGGATCCGCTTCGTCCTCGCCCTCGATGACTGGGGTCTTGCGCTTATTTCCGAGCAGCATGGCAGCAACGCCACCTTTGGGAAGACCCTCGAATGGTCTTTCGAGGTCCAAGATGGTCTGGGGTGTATCGTTCTGTGCAGCCTTCGATGTCGATGTTGAGCCCACTAGCTGGGTTTGAGGGAGAGACGATTGGCCGGTGCCGGATGAGGATACAAGGAGAGGCGCAACACGTTTCCTACCGTCCTTGCCAACCGTCACCCGGGACTTGAGCTCCTTGACTCTCTCCCCCGACTTATCGCCATTCTCTTCTGCAGGCTTCTCCCTCTCTTTCTCTGGCTCGACATTGCCGTTGGTGGGCCTCGGCGTTGATGTGCCCGTGGCTGTTCCATTGCCAACCGGTTTGGTTCCGTTGGTCGCAGGCGTTGCCCCTTTGGAGGAACCCGGGTCACCCATCAAGGCGCCCATCCTTGACTCTGCAGCTCGAGACTCGCCAGCTTTACTTTGATTCTCCAGGTTCAGACCTTCTATGTCCTCTGCGGTACCCATGCCTTTCCTTGACGCGCCGTACTTCTGAAGAGCCTTGTCATTTTCGCCAGCGTCCGCAACCCAGCCAAGTTCCCCGTGATCGAATGATATTCCGAGAAGTGTGCCGTCCAAGCTGGCGGCGAAAATGGTAGTTCCGTCGGGTGACCAAGCCAAGTCAGAAATGGATTTGCTGGCTACATCCTGAAGAATGACTACAGGTCGTGAGGTGTTCGTATTCCAGATACTCAGGGTCTTGTCTTGGCCTGCTGAGGCTATAACAGTGACCAAGGCATTGTTGTCTGGTTGCTCCGCCGGATTCTCCGTATGAAACAGGCGTGGCGAGAACATGCAGACCTCGGTCGGCCCTTCGTGGCCGATTAGGTTGATCTCACTGTCCCATCGTGTTCGTTCAATTATCGCGACTGAGCTGACAGGACCATTGACGGCGTTTGGGGCGGCAATGTGGTTCCCATCAGGAGACCAGGAGCATCGCCGAAAGTAAGTAGTCAACGGTGAACTCTTAAAGGGCCCGCTGATTGTTTGCTCCAACACAAAGTTGTTAACCATATCATGTTGCGTCGCATTCGGTGCAGGTGGCGTAAAACGGAAGATTTTAATTGTTCGATCGTCGCTGGCGGTCGCAAAGAACTTGTTTGCAGGATCGAACGTGATGCCTTTTACGTGACTTGAGTGGACGGTTATGGTCTTGAGCTTCTCGAAGCTGTGGCCCGACCAGACCACAATCTTGGAGTCCAAGCCAACCGACACCAGTATGGAGGAATCGTAGGACCAGGCAAGGTCCTGAACATCGTTCTCGTGTCCGACGAGTCGCTTGTACGTCTTCCAATTCTCGACCGGTGGGGGTTCGGCGCCAAGTCCTGTAATATTGCATTAGCATCCGTCACGTCGAGGGCATAGCGCATTGGGTTTCGGCAGGAGCGCATTACCAAAAGAAGCGACCGGAGGGTTCTTGTCAAGATGGTAGACGCAAATAAGCTTGTCATCGGCACCTGATGCGAGATATCGACCATTTGGAGAGAAGCGAACAGAGTGGATGGTGCCGAGGTGATGGCTCATGTGGCAGAGCTGTCTCGGCTTGCCTTCTGCGTCACCATTCGCATCGCCATAGATGGCCTCGGTTGACCACACTCTGACATGGCCATCGCCTCCAGCGGTCGCAAGTCGTTTCCCATCGGAGGATACGTGACAGCTGTACACCTCGAAGTCCTTCTGCTCGCCGGAATGGCTCAGCCACGTAGGCTTAATGACGCGCATCGCGAATGGCCCCCAGTGTCATTTAGACCAGGTCCACGGTCGAGAAGGAGGGTCTGTACGAGAATGCGACGTCGATCGGGGTGTTGCTGAACTTCTCGTCGATGAGTAAGGCGTTGCGATTGATGCGCCACGATGTGGTTGGTGATAGTGAAGCTGGGGGAACTTAAAGCTGAATACGCAAAAAATGGCGACAAGCCAAACAGGTGGGCACAAATTGGGGTTGATTGAATCCCAAGAAAACGCGTTCTGCGGAGCCCGGACGCCCTGGAATTCGCGTCCAAAGCTCCTGCTGCTGCGTACGCTAAATGAGCGGCCAATTGACACCAAAACTGCAAAGGTACGTCCCGTCTTGAGCTGCTGCACAGACCACCTTCCCGGTCTCACATGGACTCGGGACGGATTAATGACCCTCCTCAATCTACGTACCACTACTCACACCATGCATGGAGTACCTTACCTACCTTAGTACCTAAGGTAGGTAATTACCTTACGAACCAAGAAGGACCGGAGGGTGCAAGATGAGGTAATCGCCTTCCTTCCGTTCAAGTCCCCGGAGCCGGACAATCTTGGTGGAGCATTTTGGCGGCGTTATCGCGGAGCGGAGTCGGCTCGCAATTCCTCCTCGAGGATCCACATTTCCGTGATAATTAGCCCAAAATCGGTCTGTCTGTTCATCCATCTTTATCTTCATGTCTTTACCTTGGGAATCTAGTCAGCGAACCATGCCACGGCAGGATCATAACAAATCAAGCTGACAAAATCTGCCCGAATCCCCTTATACAGCGGTAACGTTATCCATCAGCCATGGCTGAAACATTCCGTTTAGAAACGACTTAGCCTCAAATCTTTCGGGTTTCTATAAAGATTAACGAATTGGTATTTTCCCTCATGTGCTTTCCAATACATGCTTGTACCACGCTGTCCTTCTTGCATAATCAAAAAGCCACGCCGCAATCCAACATGAGTTCGCACGAGAAGAAGATCTTGGTCGTCTTGGGCGCTACCGGAAATCAGGGTGGCTCTGTAGTTCGAGCATTTCTGAACGACACAACTTTGTCCAGCTTTTGGCACGTACGAGGTGTAACTCGAAATCCATCCTCTGAGTCCGCGGTCAAATTATCAAAGCTTAGAGCGGAAATGGTCTCTGCCTCCCTCGGCTCCGTCTCGGAGCTCAAGTCAGCGTTCGAAGACGCAACGGCGATCTTTGCAGTGACAGACTTCTGGAGTGCGATCAAGACCGAAGAGGTCAAACACAGGGTCCAAAGCGAAGAAATTGACCTCGCTATTGCTACTCGGGATCTAGAGGAGACTTGGGGCAGGAATATTGCAACAGCGGCAGCCGAAATACCGACTCTAGAGCGCTTCGTCTTTAGCAGTCTCCCACCTGTCTCCCAACTCAGTCAAGGAAAGCTGAAGCACGTTCACCACTTTGACGGCAAAGCCAACGTTCTCCAATATATTCGACAAGAACATCCCACACTCTGGGCCAAGACTTCACAGATTTTGGTTGGATTCTACAACTCCAATATTTTACCCGACTCATATTTCGGACCCAAATTCAATCCAGTGACAGGAAAAGTCGAGTTCGAGGGGCCCGTGAGTGACGACAATCTTATACCATTCATCGATGCTTCGTCCAGCACCGGACATTTTGTCAGGGCTCTGGTTCTTGATGCGCCAGCGGGTACAATCCTGGCGGCTTACGACGAGATGAAGTCGCTCGGAGAGTGCGTCGAGTTTCTACGTAGGGAAACGGGTCGGAACTTTGTTTTTGTGCAAAGAAATGTCGAAGAGATGGCGGCCGAATCGCCGCTAGGTCGTGAGGCTCCTGAAAGCTGGGTCTGGCTCGCAGAATATGGTCTCTTTGGAGAGAAAGTTGAAGAATGGAAACAGCTCCTGACATTACCCGGAGGTCTAGAAGATAGGATTGGAACGGTCAAAGTCGACGAATGGCTTTCAGCACAGGACTGGAGCAAGGCCTTTCAATCGGCTTAGTGTAGTCATGCAGTCGCAACATCTTTATTGTTACGAAACGCAGGATAAGCTAGCCGGCAGTTTTCCTCCTCATTTTCAAACGATTGATCAGTGTTTCGTTCGAACCAATGCTATATGAACATGCTACGGCATTTCCATGGAACTGACCCCTTGTTTTGCTACTTGCGGCAGATGTCTTTGGACTTTGGCTTATCTGATATCCATGGTTTTCATGAATCTTATTATCTCGACACTGTCGGCTCCGTCTATAGTCCTTGGTCCGTGTCGAACCCATGCCTTCGCGATAACATGTTGAAAGATAGTATACACCGGCCAACGCCGACGAAGAAACTCGTGATATCGCAACTCGCTGGCAACCAATTCTTAAGCGAAGCATCCGACGTTTAGATGTCTTGCCTGATTGAGAATCAACGCCGATGCGGGCACAACAACCCGTGGCCGCACTGCATCACATGCGAGCCTGACAACATGGAAAGCCAAGAACCCAAGGAGAAGGTGCAAGCACGTCCGGGCGTCTCCGACAACAGCTAAAGACTACATACAATCAGGCAGAGAGATATGCCTCGAATCAGATTGTCCGGCATCGGGTGAGCGGCACTTGATCCCTGTTTTCAAGGGGCACATATCCCCCACTGAAGCTTGATTAAGGTTAAGCAAGTTCGCTTGGAAACCGGTTGCGAGAAATGAAGATGGAGCTTCGACAGCTAGGAAACTTCTAACTTTGTTGATATGGTGCAATCAATTTGGCTCGCGGCCGGATTATTTACTGGCTTGTGCTCTATTAAATACCTAAAGTAGACTACAAGCTCCCACCTGGAGCTGCCGTATTTGATGAGCACAAATGGGAAGTACAGTCACGGGAGACCACACTGGAATCGCGAGGAAGAAGATTGATGACTTCTCCACCCACTGAATGATTACCTACGCTGATCTCCCGGCGATGGGACGAACGCGCCACGGCTGAGCTGTAACCCCATGGAGAAGGTAGCTAACGAGGCAACCTGTAAGCTTCGCAGCAGGCGCTTAAGCTGAAAGGCGGCTTTGCTTTTGCCTCTCCCCCAGACAGATTGCAGCCCACCGGAGCGCAGAGAAACCCCCGTGGCAGAATGATAGGGACAGCCCGAACGTTTCAAAATCCACTTCGAGGTTAAGCCTATTTTGACAGCTGGTTAAGAGAATGGTGGATCGGAGCTGGCCGCCAGGGGGGGAAAATAGGCAAAGGCGGGAAACCACAGGGAATCAGGGACTGAGAAGGACGCAACTCAAGACTCAAATGCGGGGATTTCCAACGCCGTGTGGGACGGGAGACACGGGAAAGACTTCCTCACCCGGCTTAGGAACGCTTTTTGTCTTCTTGATGACATTACACAGTTGGTGCTTGGCCCGGGATTGGGGTCGCAATGCCGTCGGTAGATGCGCCTGACTAGCGCACGACATCCATGTCCGCAACACCACTCAAAGGGTGCCATGAAAGCACTGGGCACAACTTGACTTGTTAGTCCTCGACGTGTCAGCAAGCGCGCAAGTCTTAGCAGAAGGAACACTACGGTTACACTAACGAAGCTGAGTGGGAACCTCTCAAGGCTTGAGTTGAACCAAGGCGGACCGGACAGGTTTCCCATGTGTTATGGCCTCTTTTATTTTCCAGCCAACCACGTCGGCGTTCCTGGCCATGCGCGATAAGATCCCTAAAAACACCTTCCGCATTAAGGACCGGGGATCGACAAGTGGACACAGCGGAGTCGTGGACGCGCTGACACCGCTACCCTGGGAGACTTGGGACTTTGTGCTTTCGCTTGGCTGTTGCTTGCCGTACTGTAGCATCACACTGGAGTCGGGGTCCTCACAATAATTGGAAAGTCAGTTTGGCCTTCTATTTACAGACGACTTCCGTGTATAAAGATGATGAGGGTTCCCGCGATCATTCAGACTGAAGAGAAGCTCCTTAGGCCCAGTCATCCAGTCTTCGTCTCCCAGCCCACAACCTTCCCCTTCCCAACAACACCAACCACAACCGCCAAGATGCAGTTCTCCGTTGTCCTTGTCTCCCTCTTCGCCCTGGCCGTCTCCGCCGCCCCCGCCGAGATCCAGAAGCGCTCCACCACCTGCGGCAGCACCACCTACACCACCGCCCAGGTCAACGCCGCCTCCAACGCCGCCTGCACGCACGTCAAGGCCGGCACCGTCGCCGGCAGCTCCACCTACCCCCACCGCTACAACAACTACGAGGGCTTCGACTTTGACGTCACCGGCCCGTGGTACGAGTTCCCTATCAAGACCAGCGGCGTCTATACCGGAGGTGAGTTATTCCCCAATCGTCATGTGCGACATGCATCTTTGCGTGGTGCAAGCGTCGCTCGAGTGGTACTGCACTCCTTCAGAAATTCAGTTTACTGACTCTCCATCCAGGCTCCCCCGGTGCCGACCGTGTCGTCATCAATGCTTCTTGCGGCCAGGCTGGCCAGATCACCCACACTGGCGCCAGCGGCAACAACTTCGTCGGCTGCTCCGGTACCTCCTAAATGCTGGATTGAAGGACTTTGTTGGAATTGAAGGGGAGGTTATTATGAAAAGGTCAAAGGGCCTGCTTATGGGTTATGAAAATTCACTTCTGCACATATTAAGCCTGTCGAATATACATAACTGTCAAAATACTATGGCTGCGATGCTTGGGCATTTTATTTCATCGTGACGTGTTTCGCAAGTTATAATGACAACACTGTGACACAAATACTAACCTAAGGTACATGTAGGCATATAGCCAGGTTCTCCCGAATGGCTTACAGCGGCTTGTGGAATACCTATTGAATATAGGACTACTAGGTATTATTGTAGAATCTGCTTCATTCCTGTCTCCTTGAGTGATTTTTGGCGCAAATCAGCACTTTTATGCAGTTCTGAAGACATATACACTTTACCCGTGCGGGCATTTTCATAGTAAAGGTACGGACAATGGCCACATCCGCTCCGCCGGTTGCCGTCAACCACTCACAGCAGTCTCGGCCCCGGAGCGCGGGCCGCTCCGCTGCGTCCCGACACGGTAGTAAGCGGGGTGGGTGTGCCGTCCGCGGCTCGGCCGTCTTGAGGATTCCTCAGCTTAGCTTTGCAGCACATCTGTAAGGAGAATTGGGGTTTAAGGTGACGGATACTTGAATGTCTGTCTCCCTCAATCTCGATCGTTGTAATCTCAACACGTTTCCGGCTCACTGAACATCATTTCCGAGTGTCTCATATTGACGTCATTAGCAAAAACAAGCTACTTAGGCTAGGGCGAGGAGTGTTCCTCAACAAGGTTGTCTTTGATTTCCCAGAGCAGACACAAGTTTCAAAGGACCTATCCAATGCGGGGTGGATCATCAGTGTGTCAAGTGCTGGTTACTACCGTTGCCGAAAGACCGGTGCTCATATCCGAATGCTTACGGCAAGGCTCGTTGCTATGATTCAGACGCGCTTCGAACTAACTTCGAAAATGTGTAAATTTCAGATCCCCGCATAGGTATTGTTTGAGATTATGAATGGGGTTTTTAGCATGTGAAAGACTGCCTGTATGCCTCCAGCCTGACACAGTTGGCCTTTCTTGTTATCGAAAAGTTGTGTATGGTTTTCTAGCCTTCAAGGTAGCCGTATTTCGCGAATTTCAGTCGTGCGGTAATGGATTCTCTCAGCTACCTGAATATAAATCTTACCTTGAAAGTAATTGAGACGATGAAATATCAGATAATCCCGGAAAAATTCCCATCGTATGAGAATTTCCAAGGGAGGCCGAAGGCCAACAGATGGTGGGGTATGCCATTCCGGAGATCCCAACTCCATTTGTCTGAGATAGAGGGAGAGCCATGGTAGATCATTGCTGGCGTGTGCAGTAGAATCTCCAATACAGCCTAGACGGCGGCATAAGCACTTCCGAAGCTTGTTTCAAATCAAAAAGCTGTGCAAATCAGATTTTGGGAGATGGCAGACGACTTATAAACCAGTGGCAGGGGAACATCCACTGAACATCTTGGCCTGTCCGTATCATCTCACTCACTTCTCTGGAGAGAAACTCTGCCCTTAACCATGGCATCAGCTACTAGTGATGGTCAGCCGTTCATCTACCAGACCCAGCTGCCTGAATCACAATCACAAGCACAGTCCAACTTTGCAGACTGCGCCCACAGGACAGAAAAAACCACTAATACCAAGCGTATCATTGTCTGCTGTGACGGAACATGGAACAACTCGTCGGTCTCCCAAGTACCTCACCACTTTTCTGTCGCTGATTCTGATACTCCATAGTAACAAGAGGGGAGGCATTCCTACTAACGTGGCCCGCCTGTCGTCTGCCATTGCCCGCAAGTGCTGCACGGGCATGCCGCAGGTCGTCTACTACCACCGAGGAGCCGGGACTGAGGAATCTAAAGTTGCCCAGACTCTTGGTGGAGTTTTTGGGAAGGGCATCGTTCAGGTCAGTCTCCCTTTGCAATGTCTGTCGTGGGGTGACGGCTATCGCTAACCTTTCAATGCCGTCGCTCAGGACATCGCTGATGTTTACCGCTTCGTGTGCGATAACTATAACCCAGGAGATGAGATTTTCATTGTCGGATTCTCCCGTGGAGCCTTTACCGCGCGATCGGTCTCCGGATTGATTTGCAATCTTGGGCTTCTGAACCGCGTCGGCCTATCACAATTTGGGGCAATCTTCCACGACTACCAGACCTTCCCCAATTGGAAGTACCCGGGGAGCTTTGACAAAGACGAGCATTTGGTAGGCTTTACGCTTACCAATTTCATGCGCCGTAAGAAACAAAAAGCTTCTGAGAACGACAAGGTCGAGGAACGTGAGAGTGCTGCTCTAGAAGACGAGTTGAACGAGGATAAAAGAGAATTCTTCGAGAAAATGACCACATATCGTGAAAACAGGAAGGGCTATGGACCAATGGATCTCCGCAAGATGGCTAAGGAATACAGAAACAGACTTGAAAAGGTAAGAAGAAAGCTGTCACCTTGGTCTGGGAATCAATTCACTGACCATTGTTTTCACCAGCACGGCATGGTTCTTACCAAGTGGGAGACTCAATTCCGAGATGGCCAATTGGGCCTCTTCCCGGTCCCTACGGACGTCAATGTTAGAGCAGTTGGTCAGTCTTCAAATCCTATACCCCGCAAAGAAAGAGAAACCCAGTCTTATTGCCCTTAACTCAGCTGTATGGGATACTGTTGGAAGTCTAGGTTGGCCAAAAATGCCCTGGGAGAAGGTCCGCATAGGCCGCAGCGCTGATGAGGTGAGTTCAAGCTTTCTTTAGTAGCCAAAAAAACTGGATCAATTCCTTTTCTGAGAAACACGACTGACACAATCAGCTTCGATTTGCAAGCCTCGACGTCAATCCCAAAGTGGACTATGCCTTCCATGCTCTCGCACTGGACGAATGGCGCACCGCATTCAAACCGACATTGTGGGGCAAGGACAATAATACACACACGCAGCTTCGACAGGTATGGTTTCCTGGCAGCCACAGTAACGTCGGAGGAGGCTTCGAAGACCAACAAATCGCCACTATTGCACTTGCTTGTAAGGTCTCCCGTCTTCTAATGACTGAAATATACCGTCGCGGATGTCAGCTAACAGCATAAAATAGGGATGGCGGACCAGCTTACCTCTGTCGGTGTTGAGTTCAGCACGCCTGAGATGAAGCGGCTTTTCTACACCCTCACCCCTGGTGTCGAACCTCGACCATGGGCAATGGGAAAAATTTCCAATCCCGAGAAGGCCACTTCGATCCCTGACGAAGCATACAACGCCATTTGGTACCCGTGGCAAAAGTTGAAGGGAGATAACACTGTCTTGGGCACACGTACTCCGGGCTTATACAAGACCGACGATGGGAAAAATAGGCTCGTGAATCCTAACCAGCTCATTCATCCCTCTGTACGCATCCGATATCTCTACGACGGCAAAGGTCTCGATGACGTTGGGATGTGGGAATGCGCAGCCTTGATGAAAAATGGGTTTAGACTCGAGAAGAGTACAGAGCCACTTAAGATCGTCGACCCATACCCCAAGACTCCTATTGCATCGTCATACGAAACGCTCACGGGCACCGTATCATCCGTCCACGGCGGCCATACTATGGACCTCGAATCCCACAAGGGACACACACTTGTTGTCCATCAGGTGCCGTTCGAAGCCGACCTCTGCCTTCTGGAACAAGCCGAGAATCACTGGGTTTGGACCCGGGATAACGCAAAAGAGGGTGCGCGAATTTTGCACGAGGAGCGAATCGGAATCTGGGAACGTCTCTTCATCGACATCAATCACAAGCTGGTGTTACGCCAAAAGCATGAGGAATTGAAGAGGGCCGAGATCAAAGCTAAGCAGCCTGAAGAGAAGCAGACCTGGGGACAATGGTTCAAGGAAAAGGCAGAGACAGCCAAGGGAGCTGCTGGAAAGGCGCTCAATAACACCGTCGTCGGGAGATTCCTTGGGCCATCCGCCAGGCTCAAGCCTTTGGACTACCCCAAACATTTTGGATACCATGACTTCGTTTCTTGGCAGCGAGGTGATGTCAGGAAGACGCGGCTGCAAAATCCTTGGGAGAAGAGTAACAAGGCTAGAGCATACCAAGCTGACAGCAAGTGATGAACGTAGATTAGCTACTCTGAGCTTGGAGTTGGGGAAATATTAGTCCACCGATGAGAAGCTCTTTCCATCGCACACTGATAGCCTGGAAATCGACCGCCATATCAATGAGTGTTGCCCTTCTATTCAAATTCTGTAATTGACATAGTGGGATCTGACCTCTGAACCGATCTTGCAATTTCTACGACATCCCCATCCGCCTGATTGAAGGAAATTAACCAGGAAGTCCGATTGAGCCATCTCGCGTTGCAAGACCTGACTTCATGTTCTCTTCGCATAGCTCACACGACAAGGAAAGAAGCGACTCGGATTGGCTGCTCCCCCGCGACTCACCAAATACACAGGATCCCCATGATACTTCTCTGTTTGCCCGGTCTCTTCATACGCAGGTTTGAAATCAAATTCTCTCGCAGTCAGAGCACACACCATCTTGATCTCAGCCAAAGCCATCTCTTGCCCTATGCAACTCCTGGGTCCTCTCTCGAAGGGACGCCAACCATTGGCAGGAGGTTGCAGAGGGTCATCTTTTTCCTTCACCAACCAACGGTCTGGGAGGAACTCGCTTGAGCGAAACCAGTACCGTGGGTTATGATGGATTGCGTAGTGGCTGACATAGACATTGCATCTTTCCGTTGGAAGTGACCTCAGAGCTGCTACAGGTTTCTCCCTCGTATCAGTCTCTGAAGTATCAGAGAAGGCCTGAATGAAGACATTGAAATCTCGATTGCCCAGTCTCTGAGTTGCTCCGGGAGGGTAAATGCGCAAGGACTCTTTGATGACGGCAGTCGTGTACGGGAGCTGATTAAGCAGCTTCGGCTGAGAGGCTATTAGGCCCGCTGTTGCCTTCAAGTCGGAGCCAAAGACATTGTCGTGCTCAACCCGAACGCGTGCCAGTACTTCTGGGTGCTGCGACAGGAGGTTGGTCATGAAGACGATCGATGACCCGGTTGTGTCATAACCTGCAAGCATCATAAACTTAATCTGTGACCGAATAACATCGGGAAGTATTCGCAGGTGGCCTTGGTCTTGTGGTGCATTGGCGGCATCCAGTATCGAGATCGAGTTTGTTTGTCTGCTCTCGGCAGCTTCTGAGTTCTCCTTTAGTACTTTCTTGATGTACGAATCCATCCGCCAAGTATTGTAGCATTGTACAAAGGGCCTGATGAAGTTAATGTCCCTTAGTAGCGAAGTGCCGCGATAATGCAGCCAGCTGAGCTGCGAAGCCATCGCGGCGGCAAAAAGGTTGTAGCCTGCCTGACAATGCATATCATGGCCCATGATAGCCTTGCTTGAAAAGTCCATGGTAAGGTCGAGAGCCATCGGACTCAGAGAAACCACCTCGTTCTTGTTTACACATCGGCGTAGACGATCACAGAAGACCCCAGCTATCTCAACCAAACTGGGCACCAGTCCGGCGATATTCGCGACTCGAAAGCCAGGGCTGAAGACGTTGTGCCAGAATTTCCATTCGTCTCCTTCCATAGTATCCAGATCGTAACCACCTGTGAGCGGCTTCAGGAACTCTCGCTGGCCCGGCTCTTTCGGGAGAGATTGACCTTGTGCCACCTGACGAGCCCCATCTGGTGACAGAACGACCAGCATGGGCTTAAAAAAGGGCCACTGGTCCAAATAGAAGGCCTGATCGAGATGTGGATAACGCAAGCGAATTTCATGGGCCAGTGCTGCCGACGGCATGATGTCAGGTGGTAAATCTTTCAGGATCCTTCCGATTAGTTTGAGATGGCCCCAGATCCGATCGTGAGGGGGCATTGGCAACCCTTGACGCTGAAGTGACCTGAAAAGGTTGCGGGCGTTGTACAAGGAGTAAACAAAGTAGAGAGTAGCTAGTAGACAGCCTGCCCCTAAGGTTTGCCAGGCCGGTGATAGGCTCATTTTGTTCATGATGGTTTACGTGCGGATGTGAACAAGTTGTGAATAGCTGCACAAGCGGAAGGGGCTAATCTACTGGACGGGTCAAGCGAGATGAAAAGCACGCAACCCCAACGAACATCGCTGGGTGGCTTTTTAAAGGCGCGGAGCTTCTGCGACTATGCTCAGACACTCGTGGAGCTACTGCAACTTTCAATCTATCGGGAGGGGGTAAAGTTCACCTTGTCAACCCCGCGTTGAAATCATAAAGCTTAAGCTTTCCAACATCAAGCATTGTACCGTACAGCGCCACGAGCTCGTGTTCGGTATCGTATCAAATGATCCGGTAAGAGCCCAGTCTGATTCGCTAATGGCATGCTGAATCGTTACAAGATCAGATAAAGTACGGAGGGACCGGTGTGAGGCGGTGGTCATTGTTTCAATGTCTATTGACTTGGCACAATAACGCAGCATTGGAATGAAATAGTATGAGAATACAACTCAGCACAGGAATCACATTATGTATTCAACTATGAACAAGTCTCATGGACATGTTTGTAGTTCAAAAGACTAACAGAATATTCCCATACAGTTGATCGCTTCGATCAAGAGGAACGGTCATAGTGATCGGAATGGGACTTTGGAAAGCACCAAATCGTATTGCGAATAACCTCAGTTAGCAAGCTCCCATAGTACTGAGAGCACGCATGGTCGAATGTCTATGTTGGCTTGTGGCGTTTGTTAATAAGGGCATTGACGCCATGTTCACTGCCTCGCAGTACATAAGGTAAGGAACGAATACAAGCCTTTGCACGTACAAGATATGGTGTAAATTTTGAACGATTCAAGCCAAGAAGATCCTATTCCGTTCGAGTAATATCGTGGGAAATGCCCTCTCAAGCCCCGTTCAATACTTGTTCAAGCATTTCGCGATTAATGAACGCGGAGTTTTGCCGAAATATCAAGCACGCCATTGTATGCCTGCCTTTCGCCGATATCATTGGTGTTTACGGACTTGCACCTGCACACTGATTGTAGGTACCCTAGCAAAAGAAACAATCCAACCCATGTTTCCGACATCGGTGGCTCCTAAAGAGGCGTTTGCCTTATCGAAATGGTGCACCGGAAACTTGGCTACTCATTGGTCTTCCGATAACTGGGAGGTAAACGGAGGTTCTGTGGCGTTACATATCATGACTAGTAGACGCACTCTTACTTGACTGTCGATGTCGCCATGGGACCCGCCGAAGACGACAATCAACCCGACTTCCGAGCCACAGGATCTGAACAAGGAGTCACAGACACTGGGCTTGTAGATAAGCTCACAGATTTCCGATGCGAAAAAGTAGAGAGTGCAGGTACATGCCTTACGGCACATTTAGTCTCACGTTCCATCTCTCGTCTGCATACAATGTCGCTTCCTGACGAAAAGAGTCCCAAAGATGCCTTCGTCATCGGCGAAAGCGAAAACGAAGCTCATGATGGAGTCAAAGTCCCTTATCATGTAGATACCGAGAGGTCAGTCTACGTGGACTCCAAGAGGACGTGGAGATCATTCTTCTGGTCGAGTAAGTCGCTTGAATTACCAAGTCAGAAAGAAGTGATAGAGAATCAAGTTGCTGACTTCAATTTTCCATTTTAGCACTCGATGTTCCCAAAGATGAAGCACGGTTTCTGACCAAGCTCGATTTGACACTCATATCAGCATCAGCTCTCGGCGTTATGTGTCGCTATCTTGATCAAGTCAACATCACGAATGCTTTCAGTTAGTGTTCGAACCTAGTTTTATTCCTGAGCTTTTCTAAATATCGCTCTAGACAGTGGAATGAAAGAGGATCTTTCGTTGTTCGGGAAAGAACTCAACTACGCCAACGCTATTTGGAGTGCAGCATACGTGTTCGGACAGATACCGTCGAACCTACTTCTCACCCGAGTGAGTTTTGACCACTCCACTTTCGAAGAAGATTACACATATGTTGATAACATCTCAGGTCAATGCTCCTCTTTACATTGCATTCCTCGAGTTTGCCTGGACAGTCTTCACATTCGCGACTGCCGGGGTCAAAGATGTCAATCAACTTTACGTGTTCCGCTTCTTGTAAGTTGCATTGTTGCCAGGCCATCGCCATTCACGTCTGTCAATAAATCACTAACCCCGCTTCAGCGTTGGTCTGTTTGAAGCAGGGCACTTTCCAGCCGTCATGTATGTATGTTCTAGTTACTATAAGCCGCACGAACTGGCGCGGCGCAACACACTGATCCAAGTATTCACTTCTGTCGGACCACTTTTCTCCGGCTTCCTGATGGCCGCTGTCTATGCTGGCTTAGACGGAAAGAGTGGTCTCCCAGGCTGGCGATGGATGTATATGTAAGTGAAAAGAAACCCCTTCTTACAGCCCAGTAAATGGGGAAATCATGCTGACAGAAAGGTCAGTGTTTGCGGGTGCATATCCCTACCTTGTGCGATATGGACGGCATTTGCCATGCCACAGCTTCCTTCCCGGGCTAAAGCGAACTGGTATGCACGATCTGAATCATTCCCGTAGAAGGGCAACACCGTTGCAGCACTAATATGATGATGTATTCTCTTAGGATCTTCACCGAGAAGGAAGTCGAGCTCGCCCGCGCTAGAATGCCTACCGAAGTCAAACCTTACACTGGATTGTTCAAGTGGAAGGATATCAAGCGATGGCACACGACGTGGCACGTCTACCTCTGTAAGAGATCCATGCCGCCAGCGAAAACGTTTAGTGAGAGCTGACACATAAAGTCCCGCTATTCTTTACGTTCCTTGCTCAACTAGGCCAGTCCGGAGGATCAAGTAAGTTGACACATGAATAATGTTGCTCGTCAGGGAGCAGTCACTTACTGTCGTAACTTAATCTAGTGATCTTCTGGGTCAAGAGCTACAACGTGACTGGAAAGCCGCCACGATTTTCCGTAGCAGAGATCAACATCATCCCACTTGGAGTGAGTCTTCAGCACCTGAAGTATGACTCAACCACATCGGAGCTCACGCTCCTAATAGATCAATATTGTTTCCATTTTCGCCACTCTAGTCAACTCATGGGTTTCGGACAGCTTGCCTGGAGCAGCTCGATGGCCCGGTATGTTGTTCGCCAGCGTCATGGCGATCATCTTTCCCATTGCACTGGCAGCTACACCCGTGCATCCAGCGAACATTGCGACTCGATGGGCATTGTATTGTAAGCCTCTCAATCTAGTTCGCCGCACAACTTACCACAATTTGCTTACTTGTACCCTTCAAAAGATCTCACCGCACTTTCAAGCACATGCGCCGGAATCACATGGACATGGGTGAACGAGACAAATCGGCACGACCCCGAAAAGCGGGCATATGTGTCTGCAATGGTTTGTCTTACTATTTTCAACTTGTATCTATTACCTGCATGTAAATCTGAGCTAACGTCAAATGTCACTATCAGATGAACGCGTTCGCCTACATTTTCACGGCGTGGGTGCCCATCTTCACTTTCCCTGCCAACCTTCAGCCTTTCATCGTGACTGGCAACTACGTTACAGCTGGATTCGGAGCAGCTGCCGCAGTGACGGTCCTCGTCATCCGACACTTCTACAACCGAGATCTGAAGACACAAAGCGAGCTCAAATTCTGAAAGCCTGTCAGCTTCAGAAGTTCAGAGCTGTAGAGGTATCTTCTGGTCAAGAAGCTTGCGTTGATGTTCATGGGACTCCTTTACATGTAATCCAACCAGATGGTGTGCGTACTAAAGGGCAATAATGAATGCCTCTCTGGAATAAAGTAGTCTGTTTCGGCGATTCCATTATTAACACCGTAATGCTTACCATATCTGATCATTGTTTCTCCTGAATGATGGGTATTCATTACCAGTCTATACGTATCTGTCGTAAAGTAGTTCCAGGCCCAAGACCTGGATGCCGCAGATGTCGCGTTCCAGAAATGTGACTTGGCGCGCGGACTCCCATCTTGTTTAAGATCTCAGCACCAACATCAAACATGATAAAGGCCAGCCAATGATTTTTGGCGAACATCAAGCGAACCCAATCATGATTGTACCGCTGTGGGCCAACTGGTCTCGGTACCTACTTTTCAGCGTGGATCCTCCAACGCCGGGACGTCACCACACTTGAGCGGCATCCCATGGCTGCATGCCAACCCCATCGACGCACGATTATTCTGCTGCAGCATCCCCAGATTGTAAGACCAAAACAAGGAGGTTTAAGCCCTCCAACCTCTGGGTACCCCACGCCAGTTGCGTACGAGAAGGAGTGCCGTGTAGATCACTGGGGCAGAGGAAGTGCTTAGCGCTACCCTGTTTCTTCCGGTCCATGAACTTGACCTCCCCGCTCGTCCGTCCTCTCGCCAGCGGCCGCGTTGCCGATGTGGACTTATAAGAAGGAAGAAGCTGCCCGCAGAGAGCGAAATGGATTGGTAAGTACCGAAAGGCTGTGAAGCGTTTCTGGGAAGGAATAGGCGAAGTTCGAGCACTCGTGAGAATCACAACGAAGTCGAGGGGGGATGTCCCAGGGTGTGGAATGGCATGCAAGACAGGTGATAACGTTATGCTGTTGTTCGTCAAGTCTTACTCGCCAACTATGGTGTGATTTGGCTGGCCCAATGAGCTCATCCCTGTCCCAGGAACCCATAACGTTATACCCCAAGGACTGCGCTATTCAATGGAGTTATCACGGCGGTCGATGTGAACATCACTGATGTTGAGCTGTTATAAATACAAGGATGGGAAGCCTTAGATCAAAACGTGGCCATAATCAACAATTTTAAGGATAAATCTGTTCTTCTCCTACCTACTTTGAATTGCATCTTGCCAACATGATGAAAGCCATCAAGCAAGTTGCCGTCATTGGTGTAAGTCGCTGATATCATTACCATCAGTTTTACTCATAATTTCTGACCAATTTGAAAGGCAACCGGCGCATTGGGAGAGGTTCTCATCCCAGCACTCCTGCAAGCTGATTTCGAGGTGACATGCATCACTCGACCCGGCAGCCAAAAGAGCCTTCCCGCCGGTGTGCACGTAAGATCCTCCGACTACTCGAATGTCGAAGCTCTCACACAGGCTCTGGGAGGTCAAGACGCCGTTGTCGAGGCTTTCAATCCGGCAGCCGCATCCTATCAGACCAACATCCTGCAAGCAGCCTCGGCCACCGGAGTCAGACACATCATCACCCCAGACTTCAGTGGCAATACGTTCCATCCCAACGCCAAAGATGCTCTTATTTTCGGTCCAAAGTTGACAGCTCAGCGTGAACTTGAACGTGTCGTCGCCGAGTCAAACGGGTCGTTGTCATGGACGGCCATCATAACTGGTCCGTGGTACGACTGGACAATCGAGCGTGGAATCTTCTGGATCAACAAAGAACGACGAACCATCACTCGCTATGGTTCCGGACACCAGAAATGCAGCATCAGTCGTCGGGCACTCAATGGCGAGGCCTTAGTCGCTGTGTTGTCTAACCCTGAGAGATACCAGAACAGGGCTGCCTATTTTGCCAGCCACACTGTATCGACAAATCATCTGATTGCACTGGTTGAAGATCTTGGTCTCGAGGGTTGGGAAACTGTTGACGTGCCATTTGACGGGTTTGCAGACGAGGCTCGTGCTTTGTGGCGGGAGGATACAGAAAAGGGAGTCGAGGACAGACTCAACTCCAGGGCATATGCCGCCCTTTCCACCGTGGCGCTGCTGGATGGAGATAATAACTACGGTTCTAACTTCGAGGACCAAGTTGAGTCCGGATGGGATGAAGGCGAGCGCGCGCTGAAGGACAGCCTGAAGAGACTTCTCGCGTAAGTCTTGTTGGTAGATTTTGACTTAACGACAATCAAAGGGAAATTTTACGATACTTCACAAAGTGTGCGCGTCAAATACCTATTACTCTAGAGTAAAACCGAAGATGCTGATTTTCTCACCCAAAATACAAATGAGAATACAGCTGCGAATTGTACAGATATAATTCAAAACCTGCACTAGAATATGAGTTTTCAAAGAACGTAACGGCAGCCAGCTACCGGCATAAGGCGATGTTGGTAACACTTGAATGATTTACATAACTACACAGGGCTTGCCGACCAACAAGCACAGCTAAAGACTTCAGGTTGTGGAGGAGAGACCACGAGCCTCGGGCCGCAAGTGTGATTCGTTGATGGAAAGGTGATCACTCACTTTGGGTCATTCTTAGGTTTCTTGGCCAGGGGATAGCGTAACAGCCAACACCAGGCTGCCGGACTTATTCGCAAAAGCTACACGTTAGCGGTATTGGATGTTGGCTGGTTGGTTGACAAATCGCTACGGATTAAGGCACGTATGGCTCGTAAAACACTGTCTAGCCAGTCATTTGGGATGCCAGCGTTAGACCTGAGGAAGTGGATCGGGAGATTGCTGCTGGCGGAAGAGCGCAAGTGAGGGAAGGCCGGAGATTGAGCTGCATCAGGAAACATTAGAGTGGAGGAGCTCTTGAGAAGAGCCAGTTATGGCAGTCAGTTGATCGTGTCTATTTGGCCCAGGGGCCGATACGGGGCGTGGGCGAAGTTGGGCGCTGACATTTGATGGGATACGGTTGACTGGCGAAGCCGTTCCAAAGGTGTTGGTGTTCTTGGCCCCTTGGCTGCTTGGCGGCGGGCACAGGATATATAGAAAAAGTACGCTGTCAAAGAAGAACAGGTCTGATGGTGCTGGCGACTCAGTTGCGATGTTGAAGATGAGAAGCTCTGGGGATGCAGCCGGGGAAAATCCACAGAAAAGTACGGGACCCAGCACGTGGTGGATTCGGGACTGGTGATTCGGCAGTTGCGAAGTCGGAAGTGGGGCCGCCATGCTCCTGCCAGCAGCGCTTGGCGCTTGGCGCTTCCTGAGAGCCTGTATCTTGGCGCTTGACCGCGCCAAGTCGCTTCGGGTGCGCCACACAACTGGATCTCGGTCGATGCTTTAGGAAGGATGCGGCGAGGATGTATCTCCTTCCCCCCTTGACGACCTGACATCGTCCGTTTGTATAGCGGCAGCTTCAACGTCCAACATTCGACTTTGCCCTTCTTCAAGTTTCAGGCGCCATCTTCACTGGGGGCTCGGCGAGAAAAAGCCAATGCCCGACTGTTACCGATTCCGTTGGCTGCCCTTGACCACGCAGGATTTTCTTGGATGGATTTGTGGATTCCCTCTTCACGCTCCCACTCCATCGCCTCGAGAAGTATCCCCGCGAGGCCGATATCCTCCCAAAAGCTCAAGTTCCGCCAAATATGCGACGTTGTTTACGACACGTGGGACGCCTCAGAACATGCCTTGCTACTTCTAGACATCCTTATTCAGCCTTTCGATACCCATCCATCCCGCCCCATGCAGGTTCATGTCAGCCAGCCTCTCCAGTAGGTTGAACTTAGCATCTACTTTCTCCTCCTCATTGGGGTGTTCACCGTGGCTTTTTGTGCCGAAGGGGCCTGCGGAAACCTGTGCAGAAAGGCGTTCGAGCCGCAATAATTCAGAAACCTTCGAAATCCCGCCGATTAAAGTCTTCTTTGCACCGAATGTCATTCTGATAATGATGAGTGGCAACTATAGATTTCGTCAGATTCACACACACCAAATGCTTCTCTTCTCTGTGGAAATGGGACCTCTGACATAGGATTGGCTGCAGCGAACTCTGCAACCAAGCAAGACAGCATGGCTACATGCTACGGGGACCAATCCACAGATGAACCATGCCGGTAACATTGCAGATTGCGGGTGTGGCGAGTACTATTGGGTGGGTTGGGTCGGTACGTCTCTAACAATCGAATGTGCCTCACCTGTGTTGCCTCTGCTGATGGCGTGTAGCCACTTCCTCGTCTAGGTCCGGGCATCACACACCGAGAGTCCCCCGGCGGGAAGGGGGCACATGTTCATCCTAGCAGGTGGACATGGATGGATTGCGCAGAAGCAACGTCTTGGCTATTCCGCTATCTGGTATATATGCCAGAGTCGATCCCAAAGTCTACCTTCCTGCTCCTACACTGCTCGGACATCCTTCTCTCTCCGACCTTGCTACCCGCGTCAAAGCCAGGGTATTCCATCCATCATACCTTACCATCCTTTGAGGCACGTTGACCTAGTCTTCAGTTGGAATCATCATATCGATCATCTTCATCTTTCCCGGACATCAGGCGTTGCACAACCTGTGCAAAAGAAAGTCGAGATGCCTCTTCATCAGTATGACTACATTTTCGCCATTGGCACCATCTTCGCATTCCTTGATGCGTGGAACATTGGTACGTAACTCCAAAATTAGAAATCTGTTTGTCTAGCCATGTCCAAGCTGACTCTTGGGTACTGGTAGGTGCCAATGATGTTGCCAATTCATGGGCAACCTCGGTCTCGTCACGATCTATTTCTTACATTCAAGCTATGACCCTCGGATCCATCCTCGAGTTCGCCGGCTCGGTTGGTGTCGGCGCCCGTGTCGCAGACACCATTCGAACGAAGATTGGTAGGATATCTGTTCTTTTGATTAACAATGACGCCCAGGCTGATCATCTGACGCAGTGGATATCGACCTATTCGAGAACGACCCGGCTCTCCTCATGCTTGGAATGACCTGTGCGATTGTGGCTTCCTCGATATACCTTACCTTTTGCACCAAGATCGGTCTCCCGGTATCAACTACTCACTCCATCATGGGAGGCGTCATTGGCATGGGTATCGCACTTATTGGTGCCGACAACATCCATTGGGTCTCCCCTAGCGGCGGCATCGACTCTGGCGTAGTTTCAGTCTTCCTTGCATGGATCATCGCTCCTGGTATCTCGGGTGCATTCGCAGCCATCATCTTCACCATTACCAAATACGGCGTCATGTTGCGGAAGAACCCAGTCATGAAGGGACTGGCTCTCGTTCCTGTGTACTTTGGTATTACCGCTTCCCTCTTGACCATGCTGATTGTTTGGAAGGGTGGGTCTATCAAAGTTACTTTCAATGATGCCGAAACTGCCGGAATGATCATCGGTGTTGGTGCCGCCTGGGCTCTCCTCATCACAATATTCTTTCTCCCCTGGCTCTATCGTGTGGTAGTCAAGGACGATTGGCAACTGCGTTGGTATCACATTGCCCTCGGCCCGCTTCTGCTCCGCCGTCCCGAGCCACCTGTTCAGCCCGAAGGCTACGGCGGTGGAATCCGCGACTTCTATGCCGGGCACATGACCAAAGAGGAGCTAGAGGTTGCTCGCAGCGGTGGTGTTGTTCGAAGCCCTAGCAACGACATCGAGACTGGCTCTGCTGATGGCGAGAAGAAGGTCGTCCAAGGATCCACCGACTCCCCTGCGACTAATATTCCCCGTAAGGACTACGCCCACAAGCCCATCGTTGGCCCCCGTCCCGAAGGCCCCTGGCACAACGGCGACGTTCTTTTCTGGATGGTAAAGAAAGTCTTCCTGTCTGGTGTCGATCAGGACATCATCAACATGCAAAAGAAGGAGAGTGTGCTCACTGGCGATTTGGAGGAGATGCACGCCCGTGTCCAACACTACGACAACAAGGCTGAATTCCTGTACTCGTTCATGCAAGTCATGACTGCATGCACCGCCTCGTTCACGCACGGCGCCAACGACGTTGCCAATGCCATTGGACCCTACGCTACCATCTTTCAAATTTGGAACACTGGTGTCCTCTCTGGCAGCAAATCTGAGGTTCCAATCTGGATTCTCTGCTTCGGCGGTGCTGGTATCGCTCTTGGTATCTGGACGTACGGATACAACATTATGCGCAACCTCGGCAACCGCTTGACCCTTCACTCTCCCGCCCGTGGTTTCTCCATGGAGTTGGGTGCTGCTTGCACAATTATCTTGGCTACACGTCTCAGTAAGTCAACGAACTCATCTTGACCATGCTCAAGCATCGCTGACTGTGATACAGAACTTCCTGTATCTACTACACAGTGCATCACTGGTGCGACTGTAGGTGTCGGCCTTTGCTCCGGCACTTGGCGATCAATCAACTGGCGTATGGTTGGCTGGATCTACATGGGTTGGATTATCACGCTGCCTACTGCTGGTATCATCTCTGGATGTCTCGCAGGCATCATCGTCAACGCTCCCCGCTGGGGTATGGCAAGCTGAAAGATTTTGGCTGCTGAACCATCTTTCCACAGACTCATGTGTCGTCCGGCATGTTTGGCTGTGCCGTTGAGAATGGCAACAGTGTGAAGCTCGGATGTCAAGAGCACATGGAATCAGAAAAGGTTTCTTCTAGTCTATGAATGGCTCATACCCTCACTAGTATAGATAATAGTAGCAACTAATGCATTTCTATTGAGAATGACGAGATGTGAAAAGTGGCAAGAGTTCAGATGATTGGCTGAGGAGCGTCATTCTCGTGTGCCTTCAAGTGGTGGCGCTCATCTCCAATCGGACCTAGCACGGTGCTAGAATGCCAGTGCATAGATATTGCTGTATCAACTGGAATAGATTGGATCATTAGGTCATGTAAGGCTAAACCGCGAGTGAAGTGAGCTTCTCGACAATCTTCCGGTGTTCTGCCAAGGAAACAAGCTAGTCATGGAAACAAAGTTAAGCTTAGAATCATGTTGCAGACCTTCGTCCAATCTCTAACCCCCGCTTCGCTCGCCTCATTCGCCTGGCTGTCTCATCTAGGCGAGGCTAATGGTCGGATTGTTCTTTAAATGAAATAGAAAGACTCTTGGTGGGAGACAACAGTACCTCTTTGTTGACTGGAAAATGGCAGGCAGCAGGGCGCTATCAACAGCACAAGTCAAGATGCACCATCTATTTCTGCTGCCGATCGCCCTATTAAGTCCGCTTTGTTTCTGT